CCTGCTCTTGCTGCTGGGGCGCCCTCCTGGGCACCCCACTGAGTGGGGCACGAGGTGCCAGTGATGGGGTGTGGATTGTGGGAGGTGGAGGGGGCACCCACAGCACCCACAGCGGGGAGGAGCACCCGCTGGCAGAGGGGATGGGAGTCCAGGCTGAGCACGTGGGGAGACATCATGGTCCCTGGTGCCAGCACCCATGTCGGTGGGTACCCGTGTCACCTGCTGCAGGCAGCACCCTCATAGCCAGCACCCTCATCACCCACTGTGTGAGCACCCACATCAGCACCCACCTGCATCACCTGCACCCACATCACCTGCCACCAACAACACCTGCATCACCTGCACCCACATCACCAGTACCTGTGTCACCTGCACACAGCCCCTGTGTCGGTGCCCGTGTCACTGGCACCCGCATCACCCACTGCATCCAGCACCCACATCAGCACCCACATCACTGGCACCCAAACCGCAAACACCTGCAACATCTGCACCAACATCTGCCACCCCAACACCACTGATGTGCTCATCCTGTGCACCCTCAGCCTCTGCACTCACCTCCCCGACACCAGCACCCCAACACTCACACCCACCCCACCCTCACCCACACCCCAGCGCCCTCAACACCAGCACCCAGAGCACCAGCACTCACATCACCAACACCAGCACCCAGAGCACCTGCACCCTCAAAACCAGCACCCCAGGACACCTCCAGGACCCACATCACTGACACCAGCACCCAGACCACCAGCACCCACATCCCCTGCACCCCTGGACATTTCCAGCACCCACATCCCCTGCACCCCTGGACATTTCCAGCACCCACATCCCCTGCACCCCTGGACATTTCCAGCACCCACATCCCCTGCACCCCTGGACATTTCCAGCACTCACATCACCAGCACCCACAGCCTCTGCCTCCCCCTAGCACCAGATGCTGAGCCTACAGCCCCACCATCATATCCCAAAATAAAGGCCCCAGCACTGGCCTGGCCTGGCTGACCCCCACCCACAGGGCTGCTCAGGGTGGGGGGATGTGTCCCCTGGGACCAGGCAGGTGCTGCCAGTGGGGAAATCCCTCCTGGCACCCTTTGAACTCCCCAGTTTTACAGCTGGGGCCTCTCACTAATGGCCACGGGGACAAAGGTCCCAACCCTGGCCCTGCCCATCACCCGGGGTGGGGGGACAGCGGGTGCAGTGTCCCTGGGGACACCCTGGATCTGAGGGGGACAGTGACTCAATGACACCCCCTCGCCCTCCCCCCGTCACCCCACGACCCCCCTGCCACGGTGAGCAGGGCTGGAATCCAGCACAGGGGGCCACCCTCCCTCGTGGGGATAGGGGACATGGGGGTGACCATGGGGGTGACCATGGGGGATCCCCAGCACAGAGTCCCCCAGCACCTCCCTCTATCCCATGGGTGCATTCCTGGTGGGGTTTTCTCCCCTGGGGTGGGCTGGGTGCCCCTCACCGCTTTGGAACGGGCATCGTGGCACCCGCCAGTGCCCGTAAACAGCCAGGAAAACCCAAGAGGGAGTTTGGAGGAGCAGGACCCCAAAACACCCCCCAGCCCCCCGCTGTGTGCACCCGTGGGTGCTGCCTACCTTCCCCAAGTGCAGCAGCCTCGACACCCTGCTCCGGGCCCGCCGGGGACCCCCTGACTCCCGGTCACCCATCGCGGGGGGCACCGGGCTGGGGGTGCAGCGTGGGGGGCACTGGAGTGGGAGGCAGCCGTGGGGGCACCGGGAGGCTCCGGTAACGCCACGGGGACCCTGAGCCAGGCCCTGCACCCGCCGCGCTTCCTGCCGGGGTTCGGGGAGCGGAAGAGACGCCTGGGGCGGAATTGGCTGTTCTTGGGGGCTGTTGTCACCCATCACCCTCCCACTCGTCACCCGCTCCGGCAAAGCCAAGGCCACCCGAGCAGGAATTGCACTGGGATGATCCCCCCCAAATTTAGGTTGGCCCTCGTGGTGTCGTGCTGCGCCACCAGAAGCCGATCCAGGGCTGCTGCGTCCCCCCAGCACCGGGATCCCCCATCCCAGCAGTCAGGGTGGGGTGGGGGGAGCACACGGTGGCAGGGCCAAGGCCACCACGGTCCCATCGTGGCTGATACCGCACGGTTTTGGCACCAGTTGGATTTGGGCAGGGAAGGGGGATGATCTGGTGGTGGCACTGGGGTTGGGGACCCCACTGGGTCACCACCAGAGGGGGGTCGGTGGCTTTGGGTGTGCAAAAGGCACAGTGAGGAAAATGGGGTGAAAATGGGGTAAAAATGGGGTGTAAAACACAGCCTGCCACCACTAACACCCCCTTTCCTCAAGCAACACCCCCTCCCAGGTGGCACAATCCCTCCAGACCCCCTCCAAGTGGGGGACACCCAGGCTTGGGGTGCTGCAGGTGCCTGGGGTTACCCCAAAGTGAGGTGCTGGGGTGGGGGCGGGGGACAAGGCCATGGAACCCCCTCTCTGCTGGCACCGTCCCAGCCGTGTGCCCCAGCCCGTGTCGGTGGCAGGAGAGCAGCCGGGGGGCAACCCCCACCTTTGGGTGCCCCCCAGCAGCCCGGGGGTCCCTGGGAAGGGCCCCTCGCTACTTACTGGTGTGAGGTGGGCGTGGGTTTGGGGGTGTCGGGCGCTGGCCTGTGCCGGGGTGCACCCAGCACCCACCTCGGTGCCCGGGTGCTGCGCCCAGGTGAGGCGCCCAGGTGAGGCCCCCGCCCCGGCAGGGAGGAGCTGCCGCGCTTCCCTGTTAACCCCTTTCTGTCTTCTCTCACCCCGGAACGCTGCCGGGACCTGGGAGGGACATCCCAACCCCCCCCCCTCGAGTGGCACCGAGACCCCCACCCAGGGACTACGGAGCTCTGCAGAGCAGGGGGACTGGGAGAGCCCGGGGGGGCCATGAGGGTGGGGAAACTGAGGCACGGAGTGGGGGGCTGAGGGGGGAAGGTGTTCGGGGGGGGGCGGGGAGGGGGTGCAGGCGGGTGCTGCCCCGTGCTCATCCCTCCCCCTAGTTGGTTAATGTTGGCAAACCTCTATGGGGAGCTCACCTGTAGGTTTGCCCCACAGGGTCAGCTCGGTGGGAGGACACGGGGGGGCCTGGCAGTGCCTGCGGTGCCGGGGTGTCACCCCACCCTGTGCCGGGGGTCACAGGGTCGCAGTGGGGCACTGAATCAGCAGAGGGACTCAAGTGTCCTGCCTGCCCACACGCTCAAAGTCCCCCCCCCGCGCAGCTTTTGGGGACAGCAGCGGGGATGTCTCCGTACCTGAGGTGCAGGGCCGGCCCCAGGCCACCTCCTGGCCACATCCCTGTCCTTGCCGGGGGCGCAGAGCGTCTCGGAGCGGCTCTTCCCGAGCGGGCGAGCGCGTCCTGGGGAGTCCCCGCGAGACCCCGTGCTGGTGGCACCGCGTTGTGCCCGCGTCACTCGCGCCAGGTCATCCAGGGAGTGCGAAGGTCTCACGGGCTCGGCAGGGTTGGGGGTCAGCCCCGAGGGGACCCGAAAAGAGCTGAGTGACGGTGGGGAATCCCTCTGGAGCACCGAGTCCCTCCTGGGCAGTGAGTCCCTCCTGGGCACCGAGTCCCTCCTGGGCACCGAGTCCCTCCTGGGCACCGAGTCCTTCCTTGGCACTGAGTCCCCCCGGGGCACGGGGCACCCCCCCGATGGCTCCCCCGGCTCGGTGGCACTGACGAACCGATACTCGTAGGCTGGCGGGTGCTGGGGGACGAGCGGGACCGGCTCTGTCGTGACATGTCCCGACGGCGGGGGGTCGAGTGGGGCTGGGGAGGAGATGGGGGGCAGCTCCTTGACGTACTGGGCCGGGATGTAGAAGGGCCGGGCGTCCCCGCTCCGCCGGACGTGCCACCAGTGTGGGTTGGTGCGTTTGAGGAGGATGTAGCGCTCGTTGGGTTTGATGGAGACCAAGGTGCCGTCCTTGGCGCGGTACTCGAAGCCGTACTCCACCAGCACCAGCGACTCCTCCGCCGGCACCGCCGCCTCCATGGCCTTCCCTGCACCTCCGCCTGCGGGACACGGGGCAGGGAAGTGGTGACCCAGCACCCAACCCCTCCTGGGGTGTGTGAGGACCCCCCAGCTCAGCAACCTCGGGGTCCCCACTGAGCCTCTCAGCCCAACGAGGTTGTTCCACAAACCACCCAAACCTGTGGGAACAGCCCCGGGGTCACCGCCACCGTCCTCGTCCCCATCCCCAAACCCCCCAAGCCACCGAGCCCCAAGTCCCCGGGCCCCCAAAGCCACCGAGCCCCCCAGACCTCACCTGCCGCCGGCCTGGGGTTGGGCGGGCGCGCGGCCGCGGGTCCCGCTCGTGCCCGCGCCGGGCTCGTCTCGACTCGCCCTCGGTTTCCTGCTGCCGCCTCGACGAGAGACGGGGCCGGGCCCCACGGCGGGGTTGGGTGCCCAGCCCCCGGCCCGGGACAGGGCTGCTGGTGGGGCCCAGCCCGTTTCCTCCCCTCGGGCGGGCGGGAAGGGACGATGGCGGAGGGGACCCGCCGCTGCCCGACGAGGAAACGGCTCCTCGGGAGGTTCCTGCCGCAGGAAGGGCCCAGCCCCGCCGGCTCAGCCGGGATCTGCGCTGCTGCCGGATCCGGCACGGCCTCCCCGGGCACAGGGATGGGGACCCCGTCAGGGGGGTCCCACGAGAGCTGCCGTGCCCTGGCTTTTGCCTCCACCCACCCCGGGGAGTCTCACTGTGCTGGTGGGCACACCCCAAATCTTTCTGGCACCAGCATGGCAGGGAAAAGAACAACTGGAGAGGCTGAAACCAGTGGGGAGCAGGTGGGAAGGAAAATGGGGCAAGGAAAAAAGGGAAGGGTCCCCCAACCACTCTGCAAAACCCCTGAGGATGGAGAACAGGCAGGGAGGATGGAGGACAGAGGAAAAGGGACAGGCAGCATCCCCATTCCCAACCCTCCTCCCATAGAGACGTCGTGTCAGGTTGAACCTGTGATCTGGCCCTTTCCTTGCAGAGAAGGAAACCCCAAACCAGCTTCACTAGTTGTTAAATAAACTTTATTTTTGCACGGGGAGGGGTTAAAGGAAAATAAAATTTCTCCCGAGGATGAGCAGCAGCAGCAGGGGGGAGGAGCAGCCCGTGGCTCTCCCACGGCGCTGGGTGGGCTCTCTGAGCGGGAGATGCTCGGGGTGCCCACGGTCCCCCCCGGGCGCGCAGGTCCCTAAAGGCACAAGTGTCACTCTGTCCCCTCCCTGCGCGGCTCTGTCACCCCGGAGCAGCCCAGCTTGTGCAAAACCCCCACGTAAAAAAATACCAGTTTTTCAGTATCGAACATCTTAAAAAACTAGAGCTTTGATCAACGTCAGTTCTCCACATCCTTGATTGGAAATCTGGACTGACACCCGGGAAAGCTGCTGGGTTCCACCGGGAGGGGACATTGGCACCAGGAGGGTGGCAGGGAGCAGCACCTGGTTAGTGTGAGGAGGGATGGACCTTTCCACCCGCCCTGCTCAGTCCTGGGTGGGCAGAGGGTCCCACAGGACAGGAGTCCCCATCCCACACTGTCCCTGTCCCCAGAGAAGGGCCAGGTGCAGGATGGGCTCCCGGGCAGGGGGTCTGTGCTCTCTGCCTCCTGCCATCCCCATCCCTTGGGGCTCATCTGGCTGGATGAGAAGCCGAGGGCAGCGCTGAGGTCGGTGCTGGGGGCTAAAGGCTGGGCTCTGTGCTGGCCTCCAGCCGCTGCTGGTACCGCTGCCGGCGCTCACAGCGCGGGCACGACGTGGCCCGGGCTTGGCAGTCCCGGTGGAAGACGGTTTTGCACTCGCTGCACCTGGGAAAACAGGGAAAAAAACACCCACTGTGTTGGTAACATCAGAGCAAACACCAAACTCCTCCTCCCAACCAAACCAGGGAACACTTCCCTATCTTGGGGTTCTCTGAGCCCCAGCCTGGCTCTGGCTCAGGAGGAGCCTTGAATGCAGCAGCAGCTGCTCGAGCAAAACCTCCACCTCAGCAGCTCCGAGCCGGAAGGAGCGTCGTGGGTGCTGCCGGGAGCTGCCAGTGTGGGTGAGAGACCAGTGAGGTTTGAGCTGAGGTTTGTGCCCTGCTCTCACAGCGGGGACAGCACTGAGCAAAGCTTCAAAGGTGTGACAACCACCCCTGGAATAGCAAACCCTGTGACAGCGACCCTGAGACACCAAACCCTGGACACTGACCCCTTGACACTGATCTCGTGACACCAACCCACGTGGCACCAACACAGCGACACCGACCCGGTGACACTGACCCCAGGACACCAATCCCTGCGATGGCATCGCTGTTGGGGACCCTCTGCTTGCCAGGGCTGGGGCACAATCAGAGACCCCCACCCTGATGGTGGGACCTGCATGTGGCAGGGACACTGTGGGGACACCAGAGCCACAGAGAGGGGACAGAAGCCAGGATGGTGCTGCCCTTGAGGTGGGACGTGTCCTAATTGTTCCCTAATCCAGCTCAGCAGCAGCAGGAACGTGAACAGCCACAGTGACACCCTGCATGGAGCAGCTTGGGGGGACCCCCCAGCTCGGGTGAGGGGTTCAGTGCTGAATCAACAGGACAAACGTCCCCACTACAAGGATTGAGCTCAGTTTTTGGGTTGTGATCCCCAACTCCCCAGTGGCAGCAAAATGCTGCTCAGCCACATGCCAGCAGGGCAGCCAGATTTATCTTTCAGTGTGCAAATACCTGGTGCACAATCCATGTGTGAACAGCACCAAACACCTTAATTCCCCAAAGGATCCGTGGGAGCAGAGCAGTGAAACACCAGCAGTGTCAGGAAAAGGACAATGACATCACAGCCAAGGTCAAATCCTGCTCCTGACAGGAGCTGCAAACCCTGAGGGGCTCAGGATAGGGAAAGACTTGTGCATGGACAGGAGGGATTGGGAACGGGAAATATGCATTTCCCCACTGGAACACACTTCTACGTGGCCTCTCCAGATTAGCAGCCGTAGTGGCTGCTCCCCGGGGGTGGGGGGGATTTGGGAAGCCAGGGCTGGTTCCGAGGAGAGGTGGCATCTCCTGCCTCCACCTGCCCGAGCCCCGGCGCAGGAAGCGCCTGAGCTGCGGGAGCAGGAGAGGGTCCCGCGCCCGGGGAGGGGGGTTGTCATTGTCTGAGGTGTTGCAGACACATCCTGCGCGAGTGTTGGTGTGACCCCGGGGCGGGCAGAGGGGCAGGAAGCCGGGTTTAGCTCCGCGAGGATGGCGGTCGAGCCGCTTTCCTGCTGCACAACCTCCTCCTCCTCCTCCTCCTCCTCCTCCTCCTCCGTCGGGTCGAAAAAGAAAGACGTCAACAAACTTCCGAGCTCGGCTTTACGGGGCACGAGACCTCCAGCCGGCTGCCAGCCCGCTCAGCCACACCTACCGGCGCTTTCCAGAGCCTGGTTGCTCTTTTTCCAGGGAAAACGGGCCCCCTGGGGGTGTTGTTTTCTCGATAACGAGCTCGATGCTGTCTCTGCAGCAGGGAGGGGAGCGAGCAGCGCTGCTCAGCCACCACGGAAATACTGACAGCCACCTAACACGGGGCACCCCCGGATCCTGCTGTCCCTGGTATTTTCTGCAGGTTCTGGGAGGTGCTGCTCACTTTTAGGGATTGCCAGGCAAAGTGAGGCCGTGCAGACCATCGGCCCGTGAAATCTCTCTGCCAGGACTGTGCTCAGTGCCAAATAGGATATGACAAGACAAGAGGAAACAGCCTCAAGTTGCCCCAGGGGAGGTTTAGGTTGGATATTAGGGAAAATTTCTTCAGGAAAAGGGTTGTCCAGCCCTGGCACAGGCTGCCCAGGGCAATGGTGGAGTCCCCATCCCTGGGGGGAATTTAAAAGCTGTGTGGATGTGGCATTTGGGGACATGGGTTAGTGGTGGCCTTGGCAGTGCTGGGGAATGGTTGGACTGGATGATCTCAAGAGGCTTTTCCAACCTGAACAATTACATAATTCTATGAAATAACCATGGAGATGTGGATCTCTCTCCACCTACAATGGAGCAGGCTCCTGGGCTGGAAGGGTTTGATACTGACTTCTTCAGCAAACCCTGATGGTGGTGGGGATAAACCCCCCTCGACCACCCTCCCCCTGTTCCTGATTCCAAGTTCTGTCCAGCTGCTGCATCCCAAGCCACAGCCGACCCTGCTGCAGGGCAGGTCCCTGCCTGTGAGGGATGGGAGCTCTTTGGGCAGAGGGAAAATCCCAGTGAGAGCCACTGTCACCCCTGTCCTGCTGGGAACATCCTCAGCCTCTTCCCAGCACATTTCACAATGCTGCCCATTCGGCTCTTTGTTTCCCAGAGAAGCTGTGGCTGCCCCTGGATCCCTGGAAGTGTCCAAGGCCAGGTTGGACGGGGCTTGGAGCAACCTGGGCTAGTGGAAGGTGCCTGTGTCAGAGGGTGGGACTGGATGTTTTTTAAGGTCCCTTCCAACCCAAACCATTCTAGGATTCTATGAAATCCATGTCCAGGCATCCTTCCTCCCCTCCCTGGCTGTAGATGGGGGTAGGACAGTCCCACTGCTGCTTCCCCTTCCCTCCTGCAGCCCCTGGAAGGGGTCAGACTGAATCTGAACGGGAGATGTGCTGGCCAGGTGAGTGAGGCAGGAGCACCTTCCTCCTGCTCCTCCTCCCTCCAGCCCCTTGGCTGCCCACCAAGGCCTTTGCAGGCTGACAGCAAGGTGCTGGTGGCTCTGCATCTTCAGTGTGCAAAGCCACCTGTCTTGGTGAGACCTTGGCTCTGTGAGGACGGTCCTCTCCTGCCCCAAACAGCCCTGATTTGGTTCAGATCATCCTGGGGCTGATGGGTCCCATGGGGACACAGGCACGAGGACGTGGGGACCGTGAAAATGAGTCCCAAAGGATGGGGGAACCACGAGGACGTCGCTGCCACGACGACACGGGCAGCACAAGGATGTGGCCCCGTGAGGACATGGGCACCACGGGGATGTGACTCCCACAAGGCCATGGGCACCACGGGGATGTGACTCCCACAAGGCCATGGGCACCACGGGGATGTGACTCCCACAA